ATATATATAATGATTTTATGGTAATCTGAGCAACAATAAATAATTACATGCAGACTTCAGATCTTCTTGCTAATTACTGGGCAAACAATCAACTTGTAAGAAATGTCCTACAGATTAAGGAGGTGTGACTCATCTTTTTATTTATTGATAAGAACAGTGCTGCTTAATTGGTAGTTTCGACATTTTGAAAAAGAAATTTTTAAATAATGTTAAAATAGGGAACTGTGGGAAGATGGTATGGATGCAATCTCAATGTATCTATATATAATTACAGTCGTCTCAGCATACCTAGCTCATTGCCATATCACAGGAGTCTAACAACAAGAGGCTACAGAGCTCTGGTGTACAGGTGATGACCATAAAAAAACAACCATTTACAAATGAAAATAATTATAAACCTGTAATTTCCATAGAGAATATTTTGATAATTTATGTTACGCCTGATAATTTATGTTACGATGTTACGTCATGCATGATTAACACAGTGGAGATCACGATTTGCAAGTATCATTTGTTGGTACATTGGAGTGGATAAAATCACTGCGCTACATAGTTTTAGATCCATGGAGATCATGGCATGCAGTTGGCCAAGTGGCAGGGTAATGAACTATCTATGTAAAAATAATTTTATGATTTATATATTAATAGATGATTTTATTTTGTTGCTGATGTGTTAACTATGAGACTTATAATCGCTTCGTCAGATATACGATTTTATTCGGCAATAATTTGACTTTTGCAACTGTCAAGGTATGGGAATTTATAGCTTTAATACTACATGATTTATTCTCTGCATTTTCTTTGTTGCATATAATTTCTATTCATATTATATTTTTTTTACCTTTCTTCGTAAAATTTTAATATTGATTTTATATACGTACAATTTTTGTATTTTGTGTTGCAGGGTGGAAATCATTTAGCACCAGCAAACAGACCTCTGCAAAGCTTTGTCATGTTTGAGAGGTGGATTTCTCAACAAATTCTATGAATCCATTGGATTTCAGAACAATAGAGAATAATATAATTGAAGCCTGCATTTGTAATAATTTCCCATGTGTGTGTAGAAAATGTTATGTGTGGTGGACCGCACATTCGGAACACGGTCCAGATGCAGTCGCGCTAAGATGTATTGCATTGCAACCCATCCGGATTGTCGTTCAGAAGTACGGTCCTCGCACATAATATTTGCCCTTGTGTGTGCATGCGGATGCGAAATTGAATTATCTAATTCTCACGCATTTGAAATATGTTAGAAACTTTTGGATATTAAAAGAAAGAGCAGATGATCTATAAATCTTACATACTCATAGTCAAATCAAGAAACTCAATCAAAGAAATCCAACAAACTCAATTTTTTTAAGCAAGATTTTAAGCAAAAATTTCTATATAAAATTTTAAGCCAACTATTGTGAATTTTCTAGCATGCATCAATCTTCAAAATAATTTTTTGTTGATTAGTAAACATGATTATTAATATTTTATTTCGATATTGAATAAATTATTAAAAAATAATTTTTATTTTTATTTTATAACTTATAATTTTTTTTGTAGCGTTGATTGGATAACTTTAATGTCGATCTTCTAAAACACAAAATCTCTTTTGTCCCTCAAAAAATAAAATAAATGAATAAATAAATTCTACATTAAGGAGGAAATTCCTTCTCAAATCACATATCTTAATAAGGAAAAAAAGAGAAAAGACTTTCCATTAGGATGGTAACGGAATAATTTTTGAGAAGCATAACCTTTCTACACAAACTACATCTTGATAAAAAAAACTCATTTAAATTATATTAACACTATTATTATATGTTGAAGTTCAATACAATACTAATGAACCTAACAATAGCATTGATCATAATAAGTGAATCAATAATATAAATATGCACCACAAAAATTTTGAACAGACTTTCTTAAATCAAGGACAGGAAGCACTAAGTTATGTTATAAAAGATTGCAAACTTTTTATTGATGTTTGTTATGATAAATAATACAGCTTCAAACAGTATCCTTAACTTTGGTTCTAAAGTTAATGGAAAAAATTTGAGGCTCAAATAGAAATTCTACCTACATCAATTAAAAATACTTACTATGAAGCATCTCTCAAGATTACCAAAAATATCAAAATAATATGATTAAATGAAAAGGGTTTCATTTTCTTACCACATACTAAATCCTATGAATTTGATCGACATATATTATTCTGAAAGAGATCTTCTACATCAACTTGGTCTTCTCAAAACAAAATTATTGGTGTTTAGAGAATCCCTTGGTAAGAATATAAGCTATAAGATCTTGTGAGGCAATGTGTTTAATCTGAGTTTGTTTTAAGAGAATATCATCTCTTACAAAGTGATGATATATCTCCACATGTTTTGTTTGGGCATGAAAAATATGATTTAAGGCAATAGATATAGTGGAGGTTGTCACAATAGATGGGTGTGGGAGCGTTAAGAATGATGTTGAAGTATTGAAGAAGGCGCAGAAGCGATATAATATCTAAAGTGGCGGCAGCAAGTGCTCGGTACTCCACTTTAGTGGAAGATCTAGCTACCGTTTTCTATTTTTGGATAGTCCATGATATGAGAGTATTTCCTAAAACTATACAAAAACCAGTTGTAGACTTGTGATTAACAATATTGCCAGCCCAATCATCTAAGATGCATGAGTGTTGAAAATTTCCTTTGGTAAGTTGAAGAACAGAGTGAATTTTAGCTTTGGGATATCAAAAGAGCCATTTGATTAGATGAAAGTGATAGAGAAGAGGCTTGTGTTTTTGTAACAAATGAAGTTAAAGACGAAGAAAATTTTGAGTCTAAAATTTCGAGTCTTGTAACTACCAAGAATTGTTGGGATCCAGTAAGTTGATTGTATAGCTTGTTTTGAGAGTATTCATATTAAGAATCAACATCCAATTTTAATTTTTTTGATAAGGGAGTGTAAAGAGATTTGCAATTCCATGCCAAGTTGATGTACAAGAGAGGTAATATAGTGTGTTTGAATGAGAAATACATTTGAGCATTTTTCTGGATATGAAGTCTAAGAAAAATTGCTGACAAGACCAAGATCCTTTAGCATGAAAGCTGGTTATAGGTGATTGAGGAAATTGGAAATAACAACTGCATTGTTCCTGATTAGTAATATGTCATCAACATACACTAGAAAATACATATAAATTCCATTGTGCTGATATGTAAAGAGTAAAAAATGTGCCTTGGTCATTTGAAAACCTTTAAGTTTTGATGATTGGAAAGTGTGGAATGCCACTTGCTTGGGGCATGTTTGAGCCCATATAGAGCCTTTTTATGCAAACAAACAAGATTAGGTTATTGATTGTTTTGAAAGCCTTGTGGTTGGTGCATGTAAATATTTTCATCCAATGAGCCGTGAAGAAATGTAGAGTTGATGAATGACAGATAGAGCTTTGATTGGAAAGAGGCCATTTTTAGTGGGTCCTTGATTGATTTTTTTGTCTATCCTCTGATCCTTGATAATGAAACCAGATTTAGTGAAGATGACAATGATGTCATTATCGGAAGTAAGTTTGTGAATAGATATGAGGTTGTGAGCAAGATAAGGAGAGTAGAGAAGATTCAATATGAGGAGCTTACGTTGAGGAGTAGGAAGCAAACCAGTATAAGTGATGGGAAGAGTAGATCCGTCACCAAATGAGATGGTGCCATGCCCTTGATATGGAATATGTTGTTGTAGATGCTAAAGATTAGTGGTGATATGGGATGTTGCTTCGGTATACAATATCCAATATCCAATCATCAGACTTAGTTGTTATCATAAGAGCGGTGTCAGATTTGGAGGATGTGTAGGAAGTGAAGCTTGCTTTATGTCAGGACATTAGAGCCCTGTGACCAAATTTACAGTAAATTTGGCAAGAGATGTTGGAATTGGTGGAGGTGCGGCTTGCCTTGTTGGATTAAGGCCTCTTCCACGAAAGGTGTTGCAAACGCCTTGTTTTGTAGATGAATAAAGTGAAATGGTTTTTGCATTGGCTTCCTTTTTTGATTCCATATTAATGTTTGTCTCTTCAGTGCATAGAAGGGAGTATACTTCATCAATATGAATGGGTTCAGATCAAGTTCTAATATCAGTTTTGAAAGATTGATAGCTGGGTGGTAAGCCATTGACAGTGTGAATTCCTCCAGATCAATTTATTCTTCTATTGTGTTGGTGTTGTCCATGATGCACTTGATGGCTAGAAGATATTGTGACATGGAAAAATCTCTCATAGAAGTGTTGTGGAGAGCATTGTGCAATTGCAGAACTCTAGCTCTTTTTGTTGTTTGAAGTCTCTCGGCTTAAGTGCTCCAAATTGTTCTTGTATAGTCCAAATGTAAAAAAATAGGAAAGAATAGAAGAAGAGATGGTATAGTAGATAGCAGTTGATAGGCCTTGATTAGTTAGTTGCCATTGTAGGAATTCAGGATTTGGGAAAAGATGTCCAAATTTGTTTTTATGTACAGATTTTGGCTCCTTCAAGAAAGCCATCAAATTCATTTCCTTGAATAGTTTAAGTATTTGAGAATGCCATGTGGGATAGTTATCATTAGAGAGCCGGTTGTGGGCTATGGTTTTCACATTTGACATGAGGAATTAGAATGTTCGAGGAATGGTAACAACATTCTGGAGAGGAAGGGAGTTGCATGCATCAGATCCACCAATGAAGGAATTGCCATCTGACATGGTATAACAAAGGATGAAACCAGAAATAGAACAATAAAAAGAGGAGAAGACAAAACTACAGTACGGGTGAGATATAGAAGATAGAAGAGAAGAAAAGAAGAGAGAAGCTCAACAAGGTCTCCACGAATCAATCATAAAGGGATCTAAAGATCATTTATTGTCGGTTGTGGTTAGCCTTTATGTAGGAGAAGAAAGAACTATAGATTTAGGAAATGAAGGTTGGCTCAAATACCATGAGAATCAATTGAGGATCTACTGAAATTGCCGAGAACCTATTGGGGTTGTTGAAGACCAGATGAAGCTGAAAAGTAGAAATAGAGAGGAGATAATAAAGAAAGGTAGCTACTATACTGCTCTAATGTTCATTGTTAATTAACCAAAACAGTAAAAAAGGAGAAATATAATATATATAGTACGAAAGGAAAACTCTAGAGAAGAGGCCAAGCGTCCATTGTTAGTTACAAAAGGAATTTTGTGAGAGGGTAGAGAGTATGACCAATTATATTGGATTATAGGGTTGTTACGTACCAATGAGATAGAAAAATTTATAATTTTTATTACATAGATACTTGATGGCCTATATGTGTATTTTAGACAGGTTGGTGATATTGTTGTTTTGAAACATCAATCTCGCTTGTTTATAAACGGGCGGGCGGTCCAGCGTTCTTGAGGTAGTCCCCAAATTATGACTATGTGTAGAAATTCAAACTAAAAAGGTTTAATCAATGAACAATAAAAAAATGCTAATAAATTATAAAAATACAAATATAAAAACCTATTCATATTTACACATGTACCTAAAGGCCCACATCTATCTTTCAAGGTAACATCTATCTTTCGATGTAACAGCCTGAACGGGAATGATATGGGTAGTTTGTGAGATTTTCGATTGAGCAGGGAGTTTAATAGATTTGAAATGAGCTTGTGTGAACTTAAATAAAAGAAGTATAATATGAAGTTAAAAATCAAAAGAACTGAACCGAATGGTACGATGAATTTGAAAGCCTGTTCATTGATGCAAATGAAATATTTACATCAAAACTTTAATGATTAGACCATTTGAGTAGATGTAAGCAATGTAATTCATGATTTAAATA